CACACACACACACACACACACACACACACACACACACACACACACACACACACACACACACACACACACAAACTTGTTTTAATATCCCTGTGGGGCCTGTCCATTGAGTTCCATTCATTTTTTTGGTAATTTTATATCCTAACCCTGACCACCAACCCTAAAGCTAACCTAAACTCAATTCACACCTTGGTCCTAAACCCAACACCCACACCCAAAATCAGTCTCCAAAGTTTTGGGGCCCAAAGCCTGGGCCCCACAAGGAGCACCCAGTCCCCACGAGGCTGCATTTTCCTTAAAATTGGGCCCCACGTTGTAAGAAAAACAAGGCCACACACACACACTCGCAGCTCACACCGACCTCTTTGAGTAAGAAGGACGAGGCAGCAAAGGCGAAGGACCAGCCGTAGTGGTAATTGAAGAACTGCTCGGGCTCCCTGGGCCGATTCATCACCTCGTCATTAATACTGGAGATGTAGAGGACCAGACCCACCACCAGGCTGAGGCCTGTGTGCAGCACATTACATCAGAAACACACAAGTTAGGACATTTTACTCTGACTCTCACAGGCTCAGCTGTGGGGTGGCATGATGAGCAAGGAAAGAAGTGAACGATGATGTTGATGATGATACCATACCATACCATACCATACCATACCATACCATACCATACCATACCATACCATACCATACCATATCATACCATACCATACCACTTTTATTTACAAAGCACTTTAAACAGCACAAGGCCAACCAACAGGACATAGTTAAAATTATAGTCAAAAATACAAATCAAAAAGTATGTAGCATTTATATTTACAGTACATTTAGAACAGAGTTATGATACACAGTGCAGTTTTGCACCATCTCACTCAGACTCAAAGGCAAAGAGATTAGTAATGTGTTTTTAAGCAAGACTTGAAGACAGTGAGTGAAAGAGACTGTCTGACATGTAGTGGTAGATCATTCCACAGTTTTGGACCTACTACAGAAAAGGATCTGTCACCTCTCAGTTTGAGACGAGAGTTAAGGACCTTCAAAAGCAGCTGACCAGATGATCTAAGAGAGGACTGTGGGACAAGTCAACAACATCACCTGCTGAAAAAGTGAAAGTGATTTTTGTCTGTGCGTGCATGCGTTTGTTCTTATGTCTGTTACAAAACATCTCACAAACCCCTGGGCCAATATTTTAAGTAAACTCTCAGAAATTATTACATCTGATTAGCATTTGGAGTCACCTCATCCCAAGAAGGCCTCCATCCATAGTTAACATTAGCCAACACAAAATAACACTAAAACCTGCTCTTACAACACAAACTCCAAGCACTAATAGATCATGTATCATCTTTGTTAACATTTTTGTAACCATTTTTGAAGTATTGCTTTAGGGGTGGGTGTTGCAAGAAAATTGTTCACCGAATTTCCTAATCCAAAAACCTAAATTTGACGGAACACTGATGGTTACAGAACCCATCCAGAGACATTGAATAAAAAAAGTTAATGCGTGGCCATGTTATTTTTTTATCCAGTGCCACTGGATGGGTTCCACAGCTGTTGTCCTTTTCTGTTGTAAAAAAAAAAACAGAGGCAATTTCCCACAACAAAACATAGGGCAGGTCAATATAATGATCTGAACCATCATGGCTGACATTAGCACCAAAAGAAAAACACATTTATCAGGTACTAAAGGAATGGTTGGAACCTTTATGTAAAGGAACAATTTGGGTCTTCATGTTTTTTTTTTGTTTCTAAAATTAACAACACACACACACACACACACACACACACACACACACACACACACACACACACACACACACACACACACA